CCAAACTTGGTCTGGAAGGCCTCACTTGTGATCCTGAAGGGAGCAGTGCCGACCAAAGGCAAAGCAAGTGACATACCCCCCCCCCCCCCCCCCAGACTTCGTCAAATCTCAAACGCTGTCTCCCGGTGTCTGAACCCAATGCGACAACCAGCGAGGGTGCCTGCGACTGGGATGCAGGTAGTCTCACTGCGAAGAAAGTTTTTGGGAGCTTAGCCTTTCGGCCAGGCTGTCCTTTTTTTCATATATCCTTCAACCCAGCCACCACCGATTCATTCAACGTGTCTAGTGCCAACAGCCTCCCAGCGCCAGTGTGTCTTCACACGAAGTAAAGCTGGGGAGCTCTGCTTGCATTCGCCCGCTGTCGAGGAGACTGCTTTCGCGTTCTTGGCGCCAGGCCCTCTGCGCCATCGTGCGGGAGAGGATATCAGCAAACTTTCGCCTGGGTTCAAGCTGCAATGTTTCGGGCCTTCCGATCAGGTAGGATCCATCACGGACGAAGGGTTTGGATCCATGGAGGCTTGTGGCTAGGCTGCCGATGCCCCGGCTGGCCTGCGAAACGACTCTGCGCAATGCAGAAGCACCTGAGAAGCTGAGTGGCGAGGGGATCTCAATCAAGAAGTGCCCCACCACTGACCTCGCAAAAAGAGATTGCCTACAAGTTGAAGTGCTGGTCTTCAACATGAGGCCTGCGGCCGATCTAAGCGCTAAGAGCTCAAAGGGCCTAGGAGGCCAGATCCATCCAGATCCGAGAGCCAGGCGCAGCTAGCAGGCTCCCAAGAAACGTCAAGCTAAGGCCAGGGAAGCCGGACCTGAACGGAGTAGCTGGGCGGGTTGCTGCCTTGCCTACATCTTGTATCGCATCCTGCTTTCATGTATTCCTGAGAACCTCTCACTGACTCGACGACAATGTGGACAGGCCTGGGCACAGGCGGTGAGTTGTTGCATGATTCCCACCTCTGGCTCCAGGCGTGCTAATAACCTCCTTACAGAAAGCTATGCCACTGGCAGTGCCAGCAAGAACATGGAGAGGGAGAGCTTGCCGACCTGGGGCTGAAGGAAAGCCAGGCTGCGGGTCTTGGGAACGTACAAGGGTTTTGGCCGTTCAGCTGTCTTCCTCAGGCAATTTGTTCTGCGATGCTTCCGCAAGCTTGTAACACGGTATCTAAAGCCGTTTGGCGTGTCGGCGTGTCTGAGCATGCGTCTCACCGTGGACAAGTCTGCCATGTAGCTTCGCAGTTATCTTCGCGAGTGTAGCAGCGTTTGCAAGCCAAAGCTTTCATGCGCATGGGCATGTCCTGGCGAGCCTGCTGCACCCAAGCTCGTCTCGCCGTGCCCGTCGTATATGACGGGAGGGGGCGGGAATTGCCAGACATTGCATAATATATCATATGTATGGTGCTACATACATATGATTATGTATATATATATATATGATTATATATATATATGTACATATGTACACACACACACACATTCACACATATGTATGTATGAGCATGCATGTAAGTTGTATGAGCGGCTAGTCGGAGCCCCAGTGCCCGTCACGGGCTCCGGTTCGGCACGCTCGAGCTCGCGATCGCGTGTCGGCTCCGGCTCCTGAGCGTCGTCCGTCTGCTCAGCCGGTACTCCATGAGCCACAGGGCAAAACATGCCACCAGAGTGATTGATCAAGGAGTCCACCCCAGCATCTTGATATATCTTGATCTACGGGCAGAAGGAGTGCGATGCGTTGGATCGGCATGTTGCCTTGATGCTGCAGGGCGATGCGGAGGATGGTCCTTCAACAAACTGAACTTGGAGTCGTGCGGCATGAGTATCCAACCAGCATGAGCATGTCGGTCTAGGCGAGGAGATGACAGCCGAAAGCCTCTTTCAGACTACACGCACAGGCTGTGGCGGCAGCGATGGGTGTTCTATCCGTTTGGCTCTTTGTTTTCGACTGCGTGTACGCTGTCACTGCACATCCGCAAATGCACAAATACTTTGAAGTGTGGGGCGTGTTTTCTTTGTTCTTACCTGCCAGTCCTGGAAAATGCTCAAAGCTTGACCGCCGGGGAGCTTGATGGTACGCTAGTAGGCACGTCTGCATGCCTTTCTTTAGGGTACTTATCCGTGCCTCGAAAATACGGCTTTTGGCCTAGCTTCGCAGGGTCAAGCCTCAGCTCTCCTCATGGCATTCTCTCTTTCTGCGCATCGGTGCTAGCGCATGCAGAGACCTTTGGGTATTCCAGTTTAATTCCAATACAAGCAGCCATGGGCTGAGTCAACCCGACGCTACACACCCCAAAAGCGAGGGAAACAAGCCGAGTATGTATGCATGTCTGTATGTATGCTTAATCTAAACTGTGAGCACAGCTGCACCCGATTGGGGATTTACGTCTTCTCACAAACCCAGAACAGATCGCCACTAACGCTAATCGCGACCCTCCATCCGACACAGAACGGGAGATTCTGATTAGTTGTAAGTGTGGACATCCTGTCAACACCTGTTTGAGGTTTCTTGGGCATGCCGAACACAAACACAAATACAACATCGGGAGTCGCAGCCTTTGGATGACGTAATGATGCCGTGCTCCGATGTGGGGCTTGCCAGACTTCTGATTCGCATCTTGAGGAATGCACTGAGAGCGCAGCCCAGTATAGCGAGCCTCTTGCTGCAAGTCTGGCCAGGGGGTCTGCCTCCACGGCAGCGACGGCTCAACCACACATTTCGGCGAAAAGCGGCTTCTCAACCCACAAGTTTCTCTGGTGGCAGCTGCCAGGCAAAGCAAGGCCTCGTTACATAGGCCCAGGATAAGCAGACCTGAAGAAACACAAAAGCGATGGCTGAAGCATGCGAAAGCAGCAGTCGGCTGCCTTTCCGAGGTTTTGCATGTCCAAGCCCGGAGCCCGTAAATGGCGACAGCAAGCCCTTCGTGAAGATGGGGTAGCAAGGCTCGCCTCAGTTGGTAGTTGGTAGGCTAGGAACTCAAACACCTGTCTGTCTCATACACACAACGAACGCGGGACAGCATCGCCAAAGCGAAAATTCACCTGTCGTCGTCAGTGTTCAATGTCAAGCTTCACTGAAACGGGCTGCCGATGGTTGAACTCATGACAGTGAATATGCACATTGATACAAGCGAGGACGTGAGGATTCTGCTGCAATAAGTCCGCCACGGAAAAGTGGCACCTCATCGAAAGGCGATATAAAGATCATGACCTTGGCCACGGCACTCACTGCGGCGAGTGACTGTCGATGCAGCTTCAGCCAGCAACAGCTACGACTTCCAATCCAAATGCTCAACGCCCTTTTGTAAAACCCGGTATGACTCGGCAGACCACATATGTACGATGTGAGCATTGGAACTTGGACGCCGCAGCTACATTTGCCGACCTAGCATGGCCCGGAGACAACCGTCTCGAAACTGCGGATGTGAGCAGGCCACTCTGCAAGCTCTCGAGCAGTGCAGCCGTTTTTGAAGAATTTTGCGGTCGTGTGTGAAAGGTGCCCATATCGGGATGAGTCGTTGACAGTGTGGCCCTTGCCTTTGAGCTTCGTGCTGGCAGCCACTGTTTCCGAAAATCTTGGAGTGCTCTTGTCTGATCGAGTGCCACGGGCCGTTGGCAGCCTCCTGATCATGGCTCTTCTGACAGATCTGACAGTACACGTCACAATGGCTGGCTTGTCTTCGACTGTCTGCACGACGCAAGGTGGACATGCGCGGCCCCATGGTCGAGCTCAGTAGTGGGCTGCACCCCGAGCAGTTCACGATGTGCAGGCCTTCTTACTCGTGGCAGCGGTTAAGGTTTCTCGAGCAATGGCTTGCCTGGTATGTTCGCTTAGTTCCCTTTTGGTGCACGATGTCGCTGGCGCGTGTCGCGCACATGCCGTGAACATCTTGGTGAGACCAAACGGTTGATAACTTCGTCAATCAGATGTGGATGCATGTTGCGCTGAGCTTCCCGACGAAACCCAGGGCCAGAACACTCCCAGTGACGCCGAAGCGCACTGAGAAGGGCATCTCTGCCACTGGCCTGTCTCAAGAATATGCACCAGCCGTCACCAGCCAATATGCTGACGAAAAGATGTGAAATCTCCTTGCAACCTACAAGCACGCTCTCTGCTCGGCCTCGTGCGGGTGATTTTCGAGACCGCGTATGCGACGGCACGATGCCACTGGGATAACAAACAATATGTCAAATGGGTACTGGTTGCCTCAACTTCGGTGAGGGCTTGGAGAGGCCAGCATAAAGATTCACATAATTGCAAATTATGCGCAACAGGCTCCTTCATAAGATTTATGCGACGTTCGACTCACGGCATCTCCAATCACGATGGATAGGATTCAGTAATTGGCTATATGTGCGACAAAGGGATGTGTCTAGCCAACACCACCGTCAAGAAGCTGCTCCAAACTTGTTATCCTCAGGCTGAGCACCTGCTCCCTTGTGCACTGTGCCAAACCGCATAATTCCTGTGCATGCCCCTTGGGGGCTTCTGCACTGTGATCACATTAACCTCGCATGTTAAGCCACCGGCTGACCAGCCGAAACTGCTCCACTTCTCCACTCTTGACAGCACGTGCTTTCAAAGGGAGAAAAGCCAGGCCAGAGTCAAGATGCAGCCTCCATGGCGTCAGCTCCCAACACCTGAGAGCTCGAGCCTCCCCTGGCATAAGCTCTCTCTTTCTTGCCTTAGTGATCGCAGTCAACGGAGCCATTTATGGGTCACAAACATGCCTCCTAGTAGTCCAATAAAAAATCATGACACTTCTCTGAGTCTCTGAGTTTTCGCTGTTTGCTCACTACAGTCAAGCTAAGCCACCTGGGGCATTGTCCAACATCGCCATGCCGGCAAAATTTGCTGCCAGAAGCCGCTCCATCAAGTTCAAGAACTCGACAAAGTTCACTGAATCCTGGTTTGCGGGCTTTAGCTTAGGTTTCGTTGTCGGCACGCAAGCTCGGGCACATCTAGGCGGGATACGGCAAATTGTTCCGATTTGCGGGCTTTTTCCCCCTAGTCAGAGTCGTTCTGGGTCTTGCTTGCGAGGCGTATGGAACCAGTACAGAACCCCAAGGTCCCTGTGCACGCCCCTACCAGAAGGCTCGCGAGAAGTCACGCCCCCCCCCCCCCCCCCCCCCCCCCCCCCCCCCCCCC